GAAAATACAAACTGCAAAATTAAAACCACTTTTAATTAGTCATTTGTTTTTACATAAGGAATAAGTCTCTGTTTTTCTGAAGTAATTCAGTGTCTGCTATCACATAAACCAGGCAGCCCCTGCCAAATGGTGCTGCGTGATAGAAGGCAAGCACAGAACTAGGTCTCTGAGCACACACGTTATCTCCTCCAGGAGACAGCAGTGCTGTTCAGATCCACATTCTGGTTCCTGAGATAAAAGTCTCATTCCTAAGAGTGAGAAAGTTGCAGACATAGTCCTCATAGGTGGGAGTAATTTGGTGTCTGAGCTGGAGATGAATGATGAAGCTGGTTGTCTATTATATGAATACACACACTGTGGCCGTTTGGAGGGGCTAGTTTGGGTGTCACATTGCTGCTGGGCCTACCTTTGAACAGGAGGTATAGGCTGTATCCAGGTTGGGTCTCTCCTGAGCCAGGGATACCCCTGCAGCTGAGGTGTGAAGCTGGCTGTCAGCAGCACACAGGGTTTGTGTTCTTTCCAGTTGTGACCACCCGAATTGTCAGCTTGTTCTGAGAGTGTTAAGTGTCAGCCCAAGACCCTTCCAGAGCACTCAACAACCAGAGCAGTGCTCCTATGTGGAGTTGCCCAGGGCTGAATTTGGAACCTGCTGAGGTAGACAAGTGCTTCCAACAGGAGAAACCAGTGAAAGAGGAAAGGTGTAACCCAGTGCTACCTGCAGACATGCACTCGGAGTAACCTCCATAGCTCAATTAACTATATTAAGTGCATACCTGTAATTAATTTGAGGTTTTCTTCTCTGCATTGTGTGCCTACTGTACAACCTCTTAAACTTCTTACTGTGTATATAATTCAACCAAATGTACATACAGTACCCATGTAGTTTAGTCACTCCAGACACCAGGGAGAGTATTATTTTGCTATATTTGGCTCATACTTCTGCCTTCACACAGGGGGTAACTTCACTGGAATTGGTCATGCTCCATTAGTCCAAACCCAGAGCAAAGCCCGGCAGTTATAAATTACTTGCAATAGAGGCATCATAATTTCTCTAACACCATGTCCTGGCTATGGTTTCCCAGTCTCCCACTAGGAAACAGCGAATTAAGGAGAGAAAGGAAACTCATCTTTCCTTTCTTTGTTATAATTCAGCAATATCAAAGATATCAACAGATTCCTGTTGGCTCGCAGTGCTGTGTAGGAGCCTTGCCCTGTATAAGCTACACTAAACAGGAATAATTGGCTGATGTTAAGAAGCAGAGGCTAAAGAAGTATTTCTTTAACTTGTGCTGTACATGGTGTCAGGACAGTGGTTCTCTACTTGTGAGGGTCCCCTCCTTCACCTTTTATTGCCTGCACATTCTACATTTTTATTGTTAATAGCCCATGTGGTGAAGGAAATGGGTGAACAATTTCACTCTGACTGGCTTTTATTAATCCCAAATTATGGATCAAGTCGCAGTTAATGATGGCCCTGGTGATTTATGAATTGCAATTTCTACTCCTAAGAGTCCTGGACAGTTGGAAGCTGTCAGGTGCCAGCCTGAGCAGCTGTTGCCTGAGCATCAGTTAGCACCGAGGAGCAGGGTGTGCATGGATGTGTGAAATGGCCCATCTCTAGGCAGACTTAATTGGATGCCAGTGCAAGAGAGACTGGAGCTGCTTTCTGCAGGTTGCACACTAAGTTATTAGTTTCCCAAGGGTGGAAAGCAGACTAGCACTGAGTGATTTGAAATCCAAGTGGGAGATTTTATTGCAGAGCTTAGAAGGCTGCTTAAAGAGAAGCAAAGAAACACACAAGGAATATGTGCCTGACACATCAACACTTCTGAAGTGAGCCTGCGAAGAGGGACAAAACCAAAGTGATGAAGAGAACAGCAACTCCAGAGCTGAGCAAGAGCTTATGGGTATCCAGGGACAAAAGAGAAGAGCCCTGTTCTAGATTACACTCTGTTTGGAAACCCCCAAGACCTTCACTGAAGTTTTGATTCGTTATTACTGAGTGATTAACTCTGATATTCCCTTGGGAAGGAGCCTGCATGGTTGTGAATGCTGGCTGGTGCCCAGCATCATTGCTCCTTTGGATGAAGTGAAAATGCAGACTTTCTCAGTTCTGTTGCCCTCTGCATTGACACAGGTCAGGGAAAGGAGGATTTCTTCCTGAACTTCACTGGACATATGATGCTTAAGGATGTTGAACGTGTATGATGACCGAACCATTCAGCTCTCAGACAGACTTCCCCTATCTGAGGCTTGCAGCTCTCACAGTCTATCTGCTTACAAAAGTATTCCAATTATTTGGAATGATGACATCATCCTTGCAATTAGCCCAGAGCCAACACCAGTACACCTATAAAATGGTTATTCCTGCTGGGAGAAAACCACCTTCTCACAAGGATTCTGGAAGCATCTGGAAGGTGAAGCAATTTCCCGTCTATATTTCCTGGTGTCCTTCCATGAGATCTAGAGTAATTCTTCCTGGAATTAGAAAAGTACTAAGCAGTAAATGACAGTTCAGGCCGAGGAAGCCAAACCAGACTTAGCTCTGTCAGCAAAGGCTGGTGGTTTGCCCCATGTTTCCAGATCTCCTCAGCAGCTGTATTTTCCAGGTTTGAGCAGGTTACCCAGGTTACTCAGTAAGTACTCCCCGAGTAACCTGTATTTGTTTGAGAAAGCGTGATTATTGCTTGTAACTTTTGAACCTCAACAGTCACGGAGAGATTACAGGTGGCTTAGGAAAGGCATTTTGGCACGTCTCATCTTGTCCCCCACACTTGCAGAGCCCTCTCCAGCACACTAAATCCACTGTCTGTTGGGTCAGAAAAGTACATAAGCTGGCTGAGCCCCAGGATCATCTACTCTTGAGACACATGGGCCCAAGGATGGAGGGAAGGAAATCCTAACAATGGCTCTGAGATGGGGCTCTCCTATCTTGCCTTCCCTGCTTCCAGCACCTGCATTGCACAAGGCAAAGGGATAGCAAGCAACTCCACTGAGCTTGAATGTATCTCCAAAGTAGGTTTGTCCATCTCCTTGAGGGCAAACAGTGTTCAGCAGCCCCTCACTCTGTGCAAAGCCCCATGGCTGCCCCTCACAACACATCTTCATGATGGCCCTTGGGGCAAGTGGGGCCTGGGTAACTCCTGCAAACAGCTACAAGGAAATGCTTCTTCTCCTCTCCCCTCCAGCCTAGGGCAGCTTTGCCTGTAGAACTTGTTAGAGGTCTCTCCTGGCCTCCTTTCTTAAACATAAGCCACGAGTCAGTTTGGGCCAAGGAAAACAAACCCATGTGGACTGGGCCTCGTCAGCCCCACCCAACACCCGCTCCGCAGGCACCAACCACACAGCAGCACTGGGACAGCACAACTGGAAGGCAATGGTGTCCACATGCACTCACCAGCCATGCTGAGTCCAAGGCCAGGACTGACCAATCTGACATCATTAGGCCACGTGTACTGTAGATAGGCGCCAGGTGTGTGTGATCAATGCATTGACGATGCAATCAGGGCGGTCTGGGTTGGGAAGGACCTTAAGATCATCCATGGGCAGGGACAGATGATTGAAATGCTGTAACTGTATGTACAGTCGGGATGATGTATATCACAGTGGCATATATTGTATATATGTTGTATATTACATACGTTGGGCTGTACAGATGTACACCGCTCCCTCGCTGCTCCCCGCGCTTCGTGCGCAGCTCCCCTGCAAGCCGGGGCGAGGGTTGCGGTCCCTTTAAACGGGGCCCCCCTTTCCGCCGACACGTTCCAGCGCTGACCTCTCAACCAACCTCGCTCCACAGCCCTTCCCTGACTCCCATTGGCCAGATGGCGCTGAAGGTCCCGCCTTCCGGCACTGCTAGCCAATGGGAGGAGTGCTAGGGGAGAGTCTGGGTTAGGTTGGTGCGTGTGGCCGATGGCCGGCGATCCGCGGGTCAGTGCGAGGGGCTCGGGATGGGGCCCGCTGTGGGCTACGGGGCTTGGCTGCTGTGGGGGGTGAGGGGAAAGGGGTAGGGTCCGGGTCCGCCCACCGAGGAATGGGGTCCGGGTCCTCCGGTGCTGAGGGGATCGGGGCCCGCCTTGAGGCGCTGAGGGGAGCGGGACCGCCCCAGAGGCGCTGAGGGGAGCAGCGGGACCCCCCTGAGGTGATCAACGGGGCCCTCAAGCTGGCCAGGGGCGAGCTCCAGGCGGCCGCCGCCTCGCTGTGCCCTGTGGAGGCGCCGGGATCCCGGGGTTGGGATGCCCCTCAGGGGGTCATGGGTTGCCGCTTGTGTCGGTCCGGGGCAGCAGCCGGGGGTGCGGGGATGGGGCCGTCAGAGCCGGGCTCCTGGCCCGCCCTGAGGAGAAGCGAGAAGTGCGTGGGGAGAGCAGGCTCTGAGGAGGGCGCTCGGCTCACAGCTCCTCAACAGGCAGAGGTCCCGCCGCGGGTCGTTAGCTCGGGGCTGTGACCCTGCCTGCAGGCTGCGGGGGAAAGGCATAACGTGGTAGTGGTTTCACCGTGGGAATGCGCTATGAGTACAGGGGAATATCAGTTCAGTGGAGTGCTGTGGGAATGGGGGGGTTGTTACCCATGTCTGACCCACCAACAGACTGCGGAGCTGAGGGTTGAAAGGAAAAAAACAGCTTCCTAATGAGTCGCTGCTGTAGGCCCAGTGGTAATTAAACAGAGTGCTCAGGCAGGTTCTTAATGCAGTAAAGCAACCTTGTCATTCAGGTTGAAATTACGTATAGCCTGAGCTGTCCTCATGTCAAACAAACCAACCAAATCCCACAACAGTGCACTTCCATGACATTAAAATGTGGGTCCTTGAAGTGTGAGGAACCAGGGATTTCTGGAAAGGTGACATGAAGGAAGATTTTGGTCAGTTTTTAGTGTGCATTGGTGGGAGATCTGATGTGGTTCCATGGGTTTTTTTTTTACCCTAGTTAAGGACACTTGGCTCAAGTGATTCCTGATTTTTAATAGTTATAGAAAGTAGTATTTAGGATGTGGAGCAGCGTAGTGTTACATGGAGGTTTGTCCATGGGTAGATCAAAAAAGGTTTGAAAATAACGTATTATTGAAGAAATATTGCTGTTAGAATAGCTTCTTTTGGAATTTACCCTGAGAAGATGGGGTGGAAGGAAAGCTTTGTGTGTGTGTGCTTTATATCCATTCTTCATGCTAAGAAATAAACCCTGATATGAAGGAAACTCATCATGTGTGATTTCTGTTCCAGGTGCTGGTGTAAAAGATGAGGCTGAATGAGAGCCGGACAAGATCCTTCCAGGCTCCCGTCACCATCCATAACTACCCGGGCAGGCAGGTCTATGTGTTTCCCAATGGCCGCTCTGATTCGGAGGAGTCATCAGAGGAGGAACTCAACGTTATGGAATTACGACCAAGGGGCAAGGAGCAGCAGCGATGCAGCACCTCTCGGGACAGAGTTGGAGACGTGGTACTTCTGGAACGGGAGATTACAGAGGGCGATAACCTAAACAAGCTGGCCTTGCAGTATGGCTGTAAAGTAAGAGCTATCTGTGTCTGTTTGGGTTAAATTGCTTTACAGGTATTTTACGTGTAGCTTAGCTTCCAGAATGACAGGAAGGCATGTTGTTGTCTAGTGGTTTTTACACTGCAAAGTGTTTGTCCTGTGTCTTTCATGAATGGTCAATATCTGTGTAAAACTGAGCTGGAGAAAGGCAAAAACCCCAAAGAGTTCTTTACCTAGCAGCCTGGGAAGATACTGTCTACCTCACACCCTGCGTGACCTGCTTTCCTGTTCAATTTGAGTGACTAAGTGCAGTGTAGCAGTCATGGTTTGTAGATTGTTATTTAAGTGAGGGCAAAAAGTAGGAAGCTGAGTGCAGAAATAAGGGTCAGAGCCCTGCTCTCAAGGAGCAAACAGTTTTAGAAACCGAGCAGCACAAAGAAACACCACCCTGATGGCATCTGGTTTGGGGGTGGTTTTGTTTCTTTTTTGTAAGTAATGAGCTTAACATATTGCAAGGGAGGCCTGCGTCTAACAGGGGTGGACTTGGCAAAGGAGAGATGCCAAAGGTCAGGTCACAGAGCCTGGGTGCTGCCAGTGCATGTGGGTTTTGCTTGCTTGCTGTTGTACCCAGAAGCATGTGCGGTGCAGCAGCTGCAGGCAGAGGGGAGCACCTCTGCATGGGATTGCAACAAAACTACAGAACACATTTCTTTGTCCCAAAGCAGAGCACTTGATAGGAAAACTGTTGAAAAGTTTAATTACCTGATCTGGACATTAAAAGTGCCCTCTTGTTTAGCAGTTAAAGCTGTATTTTTAGAGCCTCCTTTATCTGCAAGCTAGACTGTGATTAAAAAGTTCCATGATGCAAACAATTGGAAAGGGACCTGAATAGGGATAATGATACGGCACTGGCTCAACTGCTGCAATGCTACTGCAGACTGTTGCTTAACACAACAGCTGTGTGGTGCAGCTGAAGCAAGAGGGCTTACAGGGATTGCGACAATTCCTCCCCTCCCATTCCCTTAGAAACAAAAACAAAACAGAAAAGAAACCCTTCTAGGTTCTGCTGACAAGCCTGATGTGAGTGGAGAAGCAAGTCTGGTAGGACTTGAATAGGCCTTGATTGGCATCAGGAGGGCCTGAAGAGCTCAGAGCTGCAGCAGTTGACTTTGTAGTTGTGACTCTGCTCATCTGTGAGCAGTAGCCATTGTATTGTTACTGCCACTGGTGCAGAATCACAGCAGCTCGGTGAACTCAAAGGGGGAAGATTCAGAACAACTCTTGATTTATGGCATAAAAATTTCCCCTGTTCCGTAACTCAGGAGGACTCAGTCCCATCCCTGTCCCTCTACCCCCTTTCTGGCCCCCAGGAGCCTTTCAGGCCTGGTGTGCACAGGTGAATCTATTCTGTCCTGATGAAGGCTGCTGGGCTCATCAGGTGGGGAAGATGAAGCTAATGGGGAGTGAGCAGGTCATGGATGCTCTGCTGCCATGGGGGCAAAACTGCCCTACTACCTGCTCCCTTCCAGAAAATGCAGTGGTGACCTGTTCCAGGTAAACTGAGGGGGTGCAGAAATCCTTATTGTTGGGGATTGGTGTATTTGTCAGCTTACAGCCTGGCACTGATGAGTTTTCATGTTTTACTTCCACAATTGAGCAGCTCCTGAAAGGTTGCTTGGGACATCAGTGAGGAAGAGCTGTAGCCACTAATACGTGTGATTGTATTTCAAAATCCAGGATGAGCTTCTCCTTGAAATCACTGAGAACTTGCCATTGGTTTCAGAATTGTCAGGGCCTCCTTGGGGTTGGGGTATTAAGATGGTGCCACAGATAGCTTTGTGTGTGCTACAGATCACTTGGCAGAGATGCAAAGCACTTTAGAATTCTCATTTTTACTCTTGACCATTTATAGCCCTGCCTGTTTGGCATTGTTCTGAGCTGGGACAAGAGGAGCTGCTTGCAGCCAAAAAACAAGCACAGAAAATAAGCCTAAATGGCAAATGCTCTTGCATGCCTCCCCTCAGCTTTGTTTGTTGTTTCTGCACAAGTGCTGCTCCTCTTTCTGTTACCAGAGCCTTAGCACAACATGGCAGTGTTTGATTGCAGACCCCGCAGGGGAGATACTTACTGTCCCAATAATGTTTTAATTGGAACTAAACCAACAATTGAAGCACCACCTTAGTTAGGAGGCTTTTTGGGTGAGATTGTTATTTCATAACTAAATAATGTTACAGGGTTTAAGTCCAGATGTTACGCTGGGGCAAGCTGTGAAGGGTCAGAATAGGCTGCCTCCGGGGCACCAGATTAGGACCTAGATTAAATTTCCCATTTTCAGATTCCTCAAGCTTTGCAGAGTAAATGTGAGACTCGGGTGTTCATCTCATCTCTCCCTTTCAGCAGTCTTGCTTTCTGGCTGTGACATGGCAGACTTCCAGGGACTGCTGGTGATGAGCTTGGTGCGTGGTTCCCTGATAACCCATATGAGCTGGAGGGGAGTTCCATGGGGAGCAGCAGCTCTGCAGGCAGAGGGGCTGCAGCTCCTCACTCCTGTGGTTGCTGCTCAGCCTCCAACCTGTGGGGCCACCCTGCAGGGGAGAGGGGAAAAGGGGGCTGCCTTCCCCTTGGCACCCCTGCATCTTTGCCCTCAACTGTGATGATTTTGGTGCTGGTGGCAGTCACACATTTGCTTAGGAAGTAAAGCACTTTCTTGGTTTTAGTTCTCCGGTTTCACTGGTAGCCTCAGACTTGTGAGGGTGCAGAGGATGCGGTTCATACATCATTTACTACACTTGTAACAGAACAGATCCAGCTTTATCCAGCCGTGCAGACTGTGTCTCTTCTATGGTGCATTAGGAGTCGTTCAGCCCCTTCGTGTCACCTTTCTCTTTGCTTTGAGGTCTTGCTCTTTGGTTTGCATCCTGTGTTTTTCCCTCAAGGTTCTTTCATTATCTCCATGGCTGCTTTGGAGAGCTCCTTGCACACATTAACACCCCTTTTGTTTTCTTTGACAGAGGATTTAGGGCAGCTGAGAAGTTCATGTACTTACCAGGTGGTTGTGAGTGGACACTGTATTAAGCTGTTCTCTATGTAACATTAAACAAAGAAGCACGGATTTGTCTTCTCCTTGATACCAGCTGTCCTTGTGACTTAAGCTGTACTTACAGTTTGGTCTTTCTTGCTCTTACTGCTGTTTGCATCATGAGCTGGGCAGGAATACCAGTCACAGATGGGAACTACACACATCCAGAGATGATCACAGGTACATGGAGATTATTGCTTTATGTGTACCTTCAGTGGGAGCTTTTCCAGCGGTGGAGAAATGAGCCATGTGAGCTGCTAGTGTGCAGGAAAGGGACAGTGCCTGGGGACATGAGCAGAGGATGCTTGTGTTTGTGGCAGGGGTGCTCATAGCTCTCTTCCAAGTGGTGATCTCGCAGTCAGACCTTGGTGTCTTCTGGAGACAGGGCTCTGTTCACTCCGAAATCACTTTCTGAGCAAGGGGAGGGTTTTGCCTGCATGTACTGATGTTGTCCTCACCTTAAGCAGTCATTGTTTCACGTATGAAAACTGAGGATCTGTTATAAAGACTCTTCTTGCCTTAACCTGGGCTAGAAAGTGAGAGAACGGTAAAGAAAGCTAAAGGAAGGAAAACCATTAAGTATTAAGCAACATACAACCCATGAGAGATACAGAAACATGACAGGAGGTTAAAGACTGGTTTGATGACATGGGCCAGTCTCTGTCCTGCAGGACCTGGAGCACCCCGGAGCAGCTGGGATATCTCTGCAGAGCACTAAGCCACATGCAGCCAAGGCTTGCTTTTATTAACATCCATGTCCTTCAGTCTGGGATGTCCTCCATTAACATCCATGTCCTTCAGTCTGGGATGTCCTCCATTAACATCCATGTTCTTCAGTCTGGGATGTCCTCCATTAACATCTGTGTCCTTTTGGGGTTCTGTAGGTTGCAGATATCAAACGTGTGAACAACTTCATCCGGGAGCAGGACTTGTATGCTCTGAAGTCCATCAAGATCCCTGTGAAGAGCCATGGGCTGCTAACGGAGAACAGTGGAGACCTGAGGCCAGTCCCGAGCGTGCCCACACAGCCCGGCCTGACACTTGTGGACGTAGGGGAGCCTGATGAGGGTGTGAGCAGCAGTGCTGAGAGCAGACACCTCAGTGACTACTTCAAGGGGATTGACAAGAGCATTCAGGCCGCGGTGCAGGCCGAGGTCCAGCTGAACGCTGAGTACTGCCCGGAGGCACTGGAGCGGCCGCTGCCCGAAGCAGGGAAGCAGGGGACCAGCAATGGAGCGGACTGTGGGATCCAGTGGTGGAATGCAGTTTTTATTATGCTCCTGATAGGAATTGTCCTGCCGGTATTTTATATCATCTATTTTAAAACACAAGGCCTGGTGGCCCATACCTCCAACACAACACTAACCTCAAACGTTTCAGCAGGGGGATTGGAAGGGAAATTACCACAGAGCTCACTTGTAGGTAAAAAATCCTAAAGGGGAGAGGCAGGGCCTGCAGCCTCTCGCCCGGCGCTGCAGCACGAGTGCAGGGACAGACTGGAGCACAGTCAGGGGTAACAACACAGATGATTTCTATTTTTGTTAAGTAGCTGGTGTTGTGATCCTGAACTTGACTGAAGTGCAGCACTGTGCTGCTTATGGAACAATCAGGATGCTTTGTTGCTTGTAAGGATCATCAGGCAGCTGGCTTAGCATCCACGAGCTCTATCAAGGGACAGTATTCTGTAGCAATCTACTCATAGTGGTTGCTTCAGGTATTTCCTAATGCCTTGTCCAAGGAGCGAATCCTTTGCTGCTGGATAAAGAGTTCAGTATTAATGCTATCGGAATGTTGGGGGTTGTTTGCATTTTATGAAAACCCCCTTTTTGCTTCAAGTATTAGTGGGGATTCAACTCTTCCTCTGAACCATCAGTTTTAGCTCTTGCAGCCCACGGTAGCTTTGATGTACTTGACTCTAAACCAATCTCCTCCAGTGCATTACTCAAGGTGTGCAGTGGCACAAGGCTGCCACCAGCACCTCGCCTTTCCATGCCTTTGAGGCCACCTCTGCCCATCGGCAAACTCCTTCAGAGGCATCTCTTGCAGTCCAGTGACTCAGCCAGAGCCAGCACATCTGCATGACTGCAGATAGCCAAAGAAAGAGTAGAGGAGGCAGCGAAGCAGCGCTAGGCCTGGGGTATGTATGTAGCACACACTTCTCAAAGGCTCGTTGTTTCGGGTGGGGGAGCTGTGTTTAGCCAGTATTATATTTTTAATAGTAATAATCTATAATGGTGCATCTCTAACAAGCAACCAGTGCTGGGTTTGAGTTTCCTTGGTTGTGTCAGGGAGTGTCACGAGCTGTGTTTGATTTGCAAGGTCCAGGACTGCAGCCCTGCATTATCTTCGTGGCAGGAAGAAGTGCAAATCCTTTACAGGCTGTGGACTGTGGAGCTGCTGGGTGATAAAGGTTTGTGTGAGCTGCTGGCATTCGTGTTCACAGGCTTTTGGAATTCATAGGCAAGCCCACTGAAGCTGCAGCGGTTCGTGGGGTCCCAAGGCATTCGCAGGCCCAAGATCAGTGCTGCTTAGGACAGGTCAATAAACACTACATGGCAGAGAGGAGCAGGAAAGGCGCCTTTGGGGAGCTTTGCCTCAGAAATTGAGTTCAGCAAATTCAGGGCCCACGGCCGCAGGTGAACGCTCTCCTAGAGCAGACTCGAAGGTGCTTTGCAGCACAGAGTGCGCGACACCTGCCCAGGGGTGAGGTGAGGGCTCAGCAGGGCTCCAGCCCCTCTCTGGGCTGCTCTGCAGAGGTGCAGGATCCTTCCCACTGCCCAGGCTGGGCGGTGTGGAACTGAGCCTGGCTGGGCTGGGGCACGGCCAGGGCCCAAGGAAGCACCTGCAGGAGCATGGCAAGAAGCACTGTGTGCTGTTAGAGTGAAAAGCTGTTTCCTGCAGCCCACCATACAGGTGCTCAGGAAAGCCTGCAGGAACCTAATTTTGTAATCGAGGACTCTGAAGTACCTTATACTGAACTAAAACTTGTACTTTTCTTCTGTGAAGGAGCTGTACCTGTTTGAGGGGGAATTGGGATGTTTTCAAATAAAGCACAAAGGGGCAACCCCTGGCTCGGGCCTTTTTTGTGGTGACAGAACTGGACAGAGCTCAGCCGTGTCCTCCGAAGGGCGGGTGCTGCACCGCGTCCCCACTGGACATGAGGTCAGACACCGCTTTCTGCCAGTGGGGCTCATGGAGCTGCACCAAGGCCAAGGAGTCCAAATGCCTTGCTGTGTCCTGCAGGGACTGGAATGGAGCAGTGCTGCCTATGGAACACACCTGGAGCAGGTAAGGGACCCTCGCACCTGCACATTTACCACCAATTTCAGTAGCCTTTTGTTCTCAGGTTCTTGGAAGAGCTGGTTCATAACAGGAACACACTAACAGAGAGGGGCAAGGGGAACGCGTGCTCGGAAACACGAGAGAGGCTGGAGTACACAGTAAAAGCCAGTATCTTTACTTCAGTGAATGCAGGATACAAATATTTTACAACAACCTCTAGCATTTTCTTAACCATTTGATAAAAAGTTCACTAGAATATTTATTGTATATTGAAGAAAAAACAACACATTCAGGGAAAAAAATTGAGATTAACTTATTTGTTTTTCTTAAAAGATTCGTCTCAAGGATGGCAACAAAGTCCAGCTTGTGCCGCCAAACGGCTTATCAGCATTAAACCGTGAACAGCTTCTTTGTGAACTGTTGACTACAAACATTTACCAAATACATAAATCTCTTTTAAAAAAGCCATTTTAAATATAGCAAAGCAGTGTTCTCTTGCACAGCAAAGTGAAGAAAGTTTCTACTAAGATTTAAACGTTTACATTTGTTAAGTCTTTCTTTCACATTCTACTTCAACTTCTTCCCAGGATCGATTGTTAGGAGTTATTTTGTTCCTTATTTACTATGTATTTCTTGTGCGCACAGTAATTCCAAGGTTCGGATGCGGTAGTGTCCTTTACGTGGAAGGAAAGGCTAAAGCGGGTGTTAAACACCGTGGTGTGAGCTCGGCGATGGAGGCGACGCTCACACCAGATACAAACCTTACACGGGGCTCAGGCGAGGAGCGGCTCCACTTGCAACTTCAGTCAGTAGAGTTAATTGAAAAAAGGAGGTTTTTCCCTGTTGAAATCCCTGTGCTCTGACATTTCCCTTTTTTTTTTTTGTTTTCTTATAAAACATTTTTACAATTCCTAAAAAAGTGAAGTTCCCTGTTGCTAAAAATCAGGATTCCCATTGATTCCATGGAGCGGGATTGTCCTGCCCCGGGAGGCTGGGGAAAGACTTGGTCTGCTGGAGGCCGGGGCACCGTGCGACCAGGCCCCTGCGCCCTTCTTAAGAACAGATTATCATCATCATCATCATCATTATATTTTGTTAACTCATTGGTGCAATTTTAATACAAACTCTAACCCTTACGTAGCTTTTTTCTTTAAGAGAACAGTACTAGTACTGTTTAAAAACCTGCATAGAAATAAAGACTATTGAGATACAGTCAGCAAAGCCATCTGATAAGGCACACAAGAAAATAGACAGTAAATGTGAATGCAGAACTCCCACTCGGATGTACAGCAAAGTCCATACATGTGCATAAATAATGAACCACCACGGGACGGGCCCGAGCACTGAAAGGTTCTTAAAGGTGGTGAGGAGGAAAGGGGCTGCTTGGGAGCAGCTTCTCTAAACCTGGAACTTGCTGTGGTCAACGGAGACCCACTTCCCAAGGTAAGGGGCTGAAAGGAACAGAAACCTGTCTGTGTTTTACACTGCTGAGAGCTGTTCCAACCAGCTGCTTCAGCAGCCGAGGGGAGCAAAGCACTGGGGCTGCACCCCTCATGGGCCGGGTCTGTTTAGTTACAGCATCAGGTGATTGTTTCAATTACAGGAACTAAAGCCCAAGTAAACATTTACCAATATCGCGGGTAACGTCAGAGTTTGGGTAATGGGACAGGTTGGGGTCTCCCCAGAACCAGAACTACCATGGGCAGGAAGGTGCAGAGAGGAGACCTGCAGCCAGGACCAGGAAAGGGACCCCGTTTCCCCAGCCCGGCATAGGCCGGTGCTCTCTGGTTCCGGTACCCAGGAGGGAACCTGCAGCACCAGCCTGGCTGGGGCCCCTCCAGTGGGCACCAAGTGACCCAGGGAGACGCCGCTGCCCTCGGGCCATGCAAACCCAATCCAAAGCCAAACCCCAACCCCAGCCTCCTCCACTGGTGCCACAGCAGGCTCTGGGCAACTCCTTCCCACTCAGGGGGGCAGCGGGCTTATTCCCAAGCCTGAAGCTTTACCCCAAGCCATTTACCAACTTAAAGAACCTTTTGTGCTCACCTGATTCATGCCATTTCCCTACCATGAGAAATTAGGTCAAGCTTTTCCACTGTTGGTTTGGTTTTTTAACTCCTCAGAAGAGGCAGCTCCAAAATGATGCCTTAAAATGTGTCATAACAGATTTTTTTCTATTTATGCAGGATGAACTTAACACCGGGTTGGTTGGGTTTTGTTTTTTTTTGCCACTTTGCTATTTATATACATATATATAAAATGTATAATGAAGCTTAACCATACAGCACAGAGATTACAACTGAACGGCACACATTCACCACCAGTGAGGGGGACAGCCCCTTTATACACCCTCTGAAAAATCTGGATAATAATATTAATAATAATTAAAATCCAAAGAAAGTACAGTATATTTAACAAAATAGTAAATATTAAACAGTGAATACTCTACTTAATAAGGACCTCGCCCTTCTTCAAGTCGGCGTCAATCCACAAAAATATACTTTTTAATCTGGTGAACGTACAATACGCAGGTACTTACACCGAAGGTGATCATATATTTAGGATGCTATATACACAAAGAGTTTGGCTCAAATTTCAATGTACATAGAAGTGTTCATGGCTTATTTTTCCCCCAAGGTTCCGCCTGCAAGTTTTTCCTTTTCATCTTTGAAAGCAAAAACTAGAAAGTCAAAATAAGATAAAACTATACTCTACAAAAAAGCTACAACGTACAGCTTTGGCTTATATAAATAATTCATAGCAGAATGTGTTCAAAAGTACTGTATATAACTTTATATATAGTCTTCGATTCGTTAGGGTATTGTTTTCTTTAATATAAAATATACATGAGCTAAAATCCGTTTCTCTATTTTTCAAAGGTAGGAACGTAAAAACAAATTTGTCAAAGCTCTCCCAATTATAACTTAATATATTAATTTTCTTTTGTTAAGGTTCTATTTCCTAGGCTAATATTTTCTGAATATTTCATGCGCGTTCTCTATGTCTCTCTTGCACTCGTTAAAAAAATCACTTCTTTGACCCAATACACTAGGGGTTTTTTGCACGTGCAAAACAGGGTTTTTCTGTGGTTTATTTCGTTATAGCATCAGCCCTTCTCCATGCACCCTCTGCAATAGAGACCCATGCCGGCGGGGTAATAGAAAGGTCATTTTATGTACAGTATTGCTTTCTTCTTCCTGCTTTTCTACTGCTCTGCTGCTACAAAGCATTATTTCTTAACTACGAGTAACCATACAGCTTGAATAACACACACAGGGACGTTACTACAGGCGAGCCCTCTTGGTTTCTGCAATCTAGTGTGGCAGGGCT